ACAGTTTACACTGCAGTCTAACTCGCGATCCTTCCACCCGGGACTGCTGAGAAGGTATTAAAGTCTTCAGAAGCCACTTGCGCTCCCCCTCCCGTCGAGTGCCGTGATACCACTTCCACCAAGATTCAACTACAAAGACAAGCTGCTGCAAATGCAGCATTGCATGCAGAGGAGGCAGATGAGGCTGCCAATGGCAACGGGGTGGCAATGGAACCTCTCCCAGATGCTGATGTGCTGTTGAAACTATTTGCCAACTATGAGGAACCAGAGTCTCAGGTGTGATACGAAGTGTTGATGCTTTATGAAGGCTTTACTCTGTGCTTTTAGGTGTAAACGTCTTTCTTAATTGCATGCGCAAGCACCTCACTTTACCATTTGAAGTGTTCTTGCTTTCCCCTTAAATTAATCAGTTTGATTTGTAACTTTGTTTTGTTTTTCCCTTAAGCAGTTGGCCTAAAATAATGCAGCACTTGTTGGCGAGCTGGAAGTAGTTCCGCCCCTAGCTATAGATGAGCCAATTAAAGAAGAAATTTTTGAGCTACTTGATGAGGCTGCAGGTGGCGCAGCTGAGGTTGCCCCAGCAACAATAATTGATTTGTCAAGTGACGATAACATGACAATCCCAGACCTGAAGAACTTCTCTACTCTGAGCTTCGCTGGTGTAAGTTATTCTGTTCTATCCTAGTTACCAACTGTGTCCCCTCCTAATGTGGCTTCCTATTTTATACTAACAATAAGTCTTATATTTTCCAGACTTTCAATTTGTGTCGTGAGTTCCTTCCGGTGCTGCGCCTGCTCTTTGCTGCGCCTGGCGCCTTGCCTGACGTCCGCGATGTGTGCGTGCATGTGCATGTGTGCGTCGTGCGCCCTACCGTTTTGGGCGTGCACCCGTGCTGAACAGAAACTAATATCCGTTTGTGACCGTCTTTTTCAGGAATACGACATGGTGTGTGGGGGGCCCCCACGCACGCCACATCCACACCGAGGAGCCTCCCGGCATCCCCGCCGGCAAGCCCGCCACCCCCGCCAAGGCCGGAGCCGGTGGAGGTACCTGTGTAGCAAGTTGCGAACGAGCCGGCCGTTGGGGAGAGAGCAAGTGTGCGTGTGTGAGTGCGCGCACGCACGTGCGCGTTCAGCTCCTAACGCAAGCTCTTCGTGTTGGAGGCGTGCGTGAGGGTGCCGACGGCACCGCGCGCACTCCCCACCCCGGCGACCCGGCAGCCAGTTGCCGAGGCGAAGCCGGTGCAGCACGTTTATGCGTTTCTCCCTCCATCTGCCTCCCCCGCCCAGCTCCAGGACGCTGTCGCTCGGGTGGAGGAGAGGCGGGCGCAGAGGCGGGCTACGGAGGGCGAGGCCCAAGTGAGTGGTGCGTTTCCAAAGCTGCTGTAAGGAGTTGTAACTTGAATGGAGGTGAAAAGCTAATCATGTCTTTTGATTACAGATTGATCTACTGCCCCGGACTTGTCCGGGTGTGTAGGGCGTAGGAAGGATAGGTCATAGGTAGTGTGGGAACCCGGCCGGTGGAGTCAGAGTGTCAAATTGGACCGTGAGACACGAGGTTGAAGGATAGCAGGATGATGTTGACCAGGCGTGCGGCGTTGCTGGTGGCAATACGGCTCGTGGTGTCTAGCAGGCGACCCAAAGTTCGCCGGGAACGGCGTGAGCGCTCCCCGGAGAACGAGGAGTGGGTTGCGGGCCCGGCCAGGGCACGCAAGTTTCAGTTCGAAACCTTAAAAGTAAATGGGGTAGAGAGACATGGGCGGAGTACAAGCGACGTCTAACGCAGGCCCTAAACCACAAAGGGTTTGCAAGCGACGCGGAACGCAAGGAAGCGTGCCTAACCAGTGCGGACGCCGACTTCTACCGTTTGCTAGTCAATATCACTTTTCCGGCGGTGCTGGAAAGCACCACGGTGAGTTTCAAGAAGCTCGTAGGATTGATGGACGAGCATTGCGAGGAGTACATGTCGGAGGCTATGGCAGAGTATTTGTTTGAGGAACGGAAGCAGAAGCCGGGAGAGTCTGCGGCCGATTGGCTCGTGGACCTCCGGCATCTTGCTATACCTTGCAAATTCAGTGACTTGGACCGCCGCCTGGCCAGTTGGTGCGCTGGGTGGCGGACAAGGCGTGTAAACGCAAGCTGCTAGAGGCCCCGGAGCTCGATCTTAAGAGTGCGCTACGCATTAATAACACGCACAAGCGAGGCCAGGTCGAGTGCGAGGCGCTGAGCAAGCGTGGCAGCACGGAGACCGAGGCGCGCGAGCCAACCTTAATGTTCGTCCAGAGCAACAACAGCCGAGTCGACTGTTTCCGCTGCGGCGGGAAGCACAGCCCTGACTCGTGTTGGGCCAGGGATGTGTGTAGGGGTTGCGGGAAGAAGGGGCATTTGAAGCGGAAGTGTTTATCCTCATGGAAGAAGAGCAGCCCGGAGGGCTCAAGCCAGGGTGGTGCCGCGAAGGCGCCCCTGCGGCAGGGCTCGGGGGGAGCTGCCGGGTCAGCGAGAGTAAACATGCTTCGAACGCAGCCGACGGGAGCCGGCGGAGTACCGGAGGCCTCGAAGGGGGCCCGGAGAGCCGCTGGCACCGGGAATACGCCATCTATGCGGGCGGCGGACACCGCAGCCGCGGCGCCCGGATGGGCGTGGTGGGAATAGGTACGGGGCGGGAAGAGCTACCCGGGGCCCGACCTGGTGAAGCCCCAGGTGGACAGCAAGGGGTTTCACGCCATTATAGATAGTGGGGCCCCGTGCGGGATGATGTCGCCGGAGGAGTTTCGGAAGAACTGGGCGGAGTCACTGTTGAAACAGGACCCGGACACGCTCAGAGTATGGTCGGGTGAAAGGGTGGCTGGGCAGTGCGACTGCTAGGCCAAGGTCACCGTGGGCCAGCAGGAGGCGCTGCTGCCGCTAATCGTAGCTGAGCGGACCGGGCCGCCGTTCATCATGGGGCGGCTCTGGATGGACAAATTCGGATTCCCGGTGTTGGGCCCGGCACCAGTAAGCAGGCCCCAAGTATTGGCCATCACGGGCGGGAGCACGGTGCCCCGCTGGCTAAAGATACGGCGGAGGCCAGCGAGTTTGGCTATTGTAACTAGATGTGTTAATCTCTCATAGCACCTCCTCAACAAACGTAGTTGTATATCTCTCATACTCATGCACAGCACAGCGCCAGCATTTGTCTCGTAATAAATCACTCTACCTTACCGAAGCTCACAAGAGACTTCGTTACTCTCCCGATCCTTTATTAGAATTGAATTATCGATAGAATAGAAGTGAAAGATAGTTAGAAAAGTAATAGTGACACAAGCAAAGTTACATGGTGACAGCGTGCTAGAAAGAAACCATCGCCCAGGTCAAGAAAATCAAGTCGGAAGACGCAAGTGCCAAGAGGGGAAAACACCCGAAGTCCAGCACATGCCGAGCGACGACGACGATGAAGATTTTCAAGGTTTCAACAGCGAAGAAATCATAGAAGCTCAATTACTAGCGCTCCAGCAACAACTGGCTGCCCAAAATGCAGCTATAACCCAACTAACCCAACAGTTGGAACATGAGAAGCAAAAAATGCTAGAGATGCCGGCTAACCTTCTAACTCTTTGGTGCGGTAACTCGACACCACCACCAAAACCCTTCAGATTCCAAGGAAGCGACTGGACAGAGTGGATCACAAGATTGAAACAATACCGGACAACAACTCCATTACAACATATGGAAGAACAGCAGGCTAACTAGGTAGATGTACGCCAGACCACGTCTCGCGTAACAGGCTTCGCGATATCTCACGAAACACTGTTACGCTGCGACGCGCCTGGCATACATCCA